CCTCCACCGGGCCCTGGCTTGACTGGTCACACGGACGGGGATCAAGCCTCCCCGGGCCCTGGCTATGACTGGTCCCCACGGACGGTGGATCAAGCCTCCACCAGGCCTGGCTATGACGGGTCCCCATGGACGGTGGATCAAGCCTCCACCGGGCCCTGGCTATGAGGGTCCACACGGACGGTGGATCAAGCCTCCACCAGGCTGGCTATGACTGGTCCACACGGACGGTGGATCAAGCCTCCACCAGGCCTGGCTATGATGGTCCACCCGGACGGTGGTCAAGCCTCCACCGGGCCCTGGCTATGACTGGCCCACACGGACGGTGGATCAAGCCTCACCGGGCCCTGGCTATGACGGGCCCGCATGGACGGTGGATCAAGCCTCCACCAGGCCTGGCTATGACTGGTCCGCACGGGACGGTGGATCAAGCCTCCACCAGGCCTGGCTAATGACTGATCCACACGGACGGTGGATCAAGCCTCCACCAGGCCTGGCTATGACTGGTCCCACGGACGGGGGGATCAAGCCTCCCCAGGCCTGGTTTATTGACTGGTCCGCACGGACGGTGGATCAAGCCTCCACCAGGCCTGGCTATGGACTGGTCCACAGGGGACGGTGGATCAAGCTCCACCAGGCCTGGCTATGATGATCGCATGGACGGTGGATCAAGCCTCCACCAGGCCTGGCTATGACGGGTCCGCAGGACGGTGGATCAAGCCTCCACCAGGGCCTGGCTATGATGATCCGCATGGACGGTGGATCAACAGCCTCACCAGGCCTGGCTATGATGTCCACACGGACGGTGGATCAAGCCTCCACCAGGCCTGGCTATGACTGGTCCGCATGGACGGTGGATCAAGCCTCCACCAGGCCTGGCTATGACTGGTCGCACGGACGGTGGATCAAGCCTCCCCAGGCCTGGCTATGACTGATCCGCATGGACGGTGGATCAAGCTCCACCAGGCCTGGCTATGACTGATCCGCACGGACGGTGGATCAAGCCTCCACCAGGCTGGCTATGACTGGTCCGCATGGACGGTGGATCAAGCCTCCACCAGGCCTGGCTATGACTGATCCCACGGACGGTGGATCAAGCCTCCACCAGGCCTGGACTATGACTGGTCACACGGACGGTGGATCAAGCCTCCACCCAGGCCTGGCTATGACTGTTCACACGGACGGTGGATCAAGCCTCCACCAGGCTGGCTATGACTGGTCCACAAGGACGGTGGATCAGCCTCCACCAGGCCTGGCTATGACTGGTCCACACGGACGGTGGATCAAGCCTCCACCAGGCCTGGCTATGACTGATCCGCACGGACGGTGGATCAAGCCTCCACCAGGCCTGGCTATGACTGGTCCGCACGGACGGTGGATCAAGCCTCCACCAGGCCTGGCTATGACTGATCCGCATGGACGGTGGATCAAGCCTCCACCAGGCCTGGCTATGACTGATCCGCACGGACGGTGGATCAAGCCTCCACCAGGCCTGGCTATGACTGGTCCGCATGGACGGTGGATCAAGCCTCCACCAGGCCTGGCTATGACTGATCCGCACGGACGGTGGATCAAGCCTCCACCAGGCCTGGCTATGACTGATCCGCATGGACGGTGGATCAAGCCTCCACCAGGCCTGGCTATGACTGGTCCGCATGGACGGTGGATCAAGCCTCCACCAGGCCTGGCTATGACTGGTCCGCATGGACGGTGGATCAAGCCTCCACCAGGCCTGGCTATGACTGGTCCACACGGACGGTGGATCAAGCCTCCACCAGGCCTGGCTATGACTGGTCCGCACGGACGGTGGATCAAGCCTCCACCAGGCCTGGCTATGACTGTCCACGGACGGTGGATCAAGCCTCCACCAGGCCTGGCTATGACTGGTCCACAGGGGACGGTGGATCAAGCCTCCCAGGCCTGGCTATGACTGGTCCCACGGACGGTGGATCAAGCCTCCCCCAGGCCTGGCTATGACTGTCCCACACGGACGGTGGATCAAGCCTCCACCAGGCCTGGCTATGAATGATCCACACGGACGGTGGATCAAGCCTCCACCAGGCCTCACTATGAATGATGCACACGGACGGTGGATCAAGCCTTCACCAGGCCTCACTATGAATGATCCACACGGACGGTGGATCAAGCCTTCACCAGGCCTCACTATGAATGATGCACACGGACGGTGGATCAAGCCTTCACCAGGCCTCACTATGAATGATCCACACGGACGGTGGATCAAGCCTTCACCAGGCCTCACTATGAATGATGCACACGGACGGTGGATCAAGCCTTCACCAGGCCTCACTATGAATGATACACACGGACGGTGGATCAAGCCTTCACCAGGCCTCACTATGAATGATACACACGGACGGTGGATCAAGCCTTCACCAGGCCTCACTATGAATGATGCACACGGACGGTGGATCAAGCCTTCACCAGGCCTCACTATGAATGATGCACACGGACGTGTGGATCAAGCCTTCACCAGGCCTCACTATGAATGATGCACACGGACGGTGGATCAAGCCTTCACCAGGCCTCACTATGAATGATACACACGGACGGTGGATCAAGCCTTCACCAGGCCTCACTATGAATGATGCACACGGACGGTGGATCAAGCCTTCACCAGGCCTCACTATGAATGATACACACGGACGGTGGATCAAGCCTTCACCAGGCCTCACTATGAATGATGCACACGGACGGTGGATCAAGCCTTCACCAGGCCTCACTATGAATGATGCACACGGACGGTGGATCAAGCCTCCACCAGGCCTCACTATGAATGATGCACACGGACGGTGGATCAAGCCTTCACCAGGCCTCACTATGAATGATGCACACGGACGGTGGATCAAGCCTTCACCAGGCCTCACTATGAATGATGCACACGGACGGTGGATCAAGCCTTCACCAGGCCTCACTATGAATGATACACACGGACGGTGGATCAAGCCTCCACCAGGCCTCACTATGAATGATGCACACGGACGGTGGATCAAGCCTTCACCAGGCCTCAGTATGAATGATGCACACGGACGGTGGATCAAGCCTTCACCAGGCCTCACTATGAATGATGCACACGGACGGTGGATCAAGCCTTCACCAGGCCTCACTATGAATGATGCACACGGACGGTGGATCAAGCCTTCACCAGGCCTCACTATGAATGATACACACGGACGGTGGATCAAGCCTTCACCAGGCCTCACTATGAATGATGCACAAGGACGGTGGATCAAGCCTTCACCAGGCCTCACTATGAATGATGCTTTATACAACAGGATACGAATCTAATTTACAAGGTTTTATCTTAGCAATGTCTGTCATCAGCATCTTACCTCATGATGCTTTAGTACTGGTGAGTGATGAGCAGTGGTTGATGAATGTTGGTGGTGGTGGTGGTGGTGGTGGTGGTGGTGTGGTGGTGGTGGTGGTGGTGGTGGTGAGTAATGGTTGACATGTTAATACAGTGTTGTTAGTAACTCTTACCAGGACTCTTACTGGTGGTTACAAGACTCTTGGCTGCTTCCACCAACTTACTACAACAACAACAAGATCTGCAACACACTACATATATCACACTTCTGCAACCTAACTTAAACGGAGGTTAATGCCTAAGTTACGAGTGTATATATATATATATATATATATATATATATATATATATATATATATATATATATATGTATGTATGTATGTATGTATGTGTGTGTGTGTGTGTGTGTGTGTGTGTGTGTGTGTGTGTGTGTGTGTGTGTGTGTGTGATCGTTGTGAGTACGTCGTAATTGACATTTGTAACGGCCTTTTTACGGTATATTGTTGGCTGGGTGAGGTTTGTAACACAGGTCAGAGGGAAGGTCAAGGATAACCTTCCTTCTTTACTCCTTCCTTGACCCCAACACACGCCCTTCCTGTTGTCCTTGTTGGGCGTGTGTTGGAATGAGGAGGGTTAGTGTGGGGGGAGATGGGGTGAGGAGGGTTAGTGTGGGGGGAGATGGGGTGAGAAGGGCTTGTCTTGCCTGGATTTTGTTTTAATTAATTAATTAATTATATGTAACACTTGAATGCTTCCAACACTTACTGGAGTGTCTTATATACATGATGGGAATGTTTTCTTTCACATAATATAGCATCCTAGCAGAACTGGAGGTTCTGTGTGTGTGTGTGTGTGTGTGTGTGTGTGTGTGTGTGTGTGTGTGTGTGTGTGTGTGTGTGTGGATGCTACCCACAACAGTCAGCTAACTCATACAGTACCGCCATGGTGATGGCTGGCGTCAGATCATCACCTGAGAGTCAGGGTTCGGCAACGTTAATGGCCAGCTACGCACGTATTGTTCACTGGTCACATTTACTGACACAGTTACTCTCTTAATTTCAGACAAAAAGGTAGAACCTTTTACGACGAAACGGGATCAGTGTTGAGTCCAGGTTATGATGGCTGTGTGAGACGACTCCTACACCCGTCACTGGTTACTGATATTTACACTGCTCATATCATTGGCTTTATTTTGAATTCTTTATCTCTGTTATTTATTAATTATCTATGTCCTCTTTGTCCTCCACCGGATCCCGAGCTGCCACACCCAAGAGTCGAAGTGTCGTCCAGAATTGCTCTGTTTTTGTTATTCCCTCACGTTTACCATCCTGATAGGTCACCCACTCTGTGCAACTTACTTTTGCACCATCACATTAAGTACATACATTGTTGCAGTAGTGTTTAGCCCAGGCACTGAGGTGCTACGTTGGTACATACTTAAACTACCTCAAGATATAATTGGCAGGACGGCTTAATGTCTGCAATAATTTTTAGTGTAATCGAGGAGGGTATGTAGGTTTGAGAGGAATGTTAGTGTGTTGCCATTAGTTGCCATGACTTGGCTGGCAAGTTGTGTCTGTGAGAGAATGTTGGTTTACCTTATTTATTATGTCAACTAATGATCTTGCATTGTAATTGTTCTGGGATTTATATTATGTTTATTTTCTTTTTTCAGGAGTGGGTGGGCAGTGAAGCGGCGGTTGCCTGACTGTCAAGTTACAAGGTAAATACCGGGCTTGTTAGAGCTTGTGTTTGGCTTGTATGTTTCCTTGTGTATCCTACACTTTGTAAGCCTTCATCATGCATCAAGTGGGCGGACAGTAAGCTGGTTTTTAGGTTTGTGAAGTCGTCTAGTTGTAGTGGTTCAGCTGTAAGACCAGCACGCGGTTTTAATGACAACGGTCTTTATAATGGACTTTGATTTTCTTTATTGAATTGTTATTTTTCTTGTAGGACACTCCACTTGACTACACTAAAGCTGAAGATATACTTCCTGACATCTCTTTGTCTTTAATTTACAACTATGCCCTCGTGTACCTGTTTCTCGCCTCTTGAAAACTGTCCCTGTTCATCATGTCAAGTCCTCTGAGTATTTTATATCTCATTATCATGTCTCCCCAGGTTCCTGTCGTCAGGTTCAGTTCCTTTAGCCTCTCCTCATAGCTCTTTTCCCTTAGCTCTGGAATTACTCTTGTTTCATACCTCTGCACTTTTACCAGTTTCTTACCATTCTTTATCACGTGTGGGTTCCATTCTTTTACATCTGCAAAAAGGGGATACTTCTGACTCTGATGGTATGTCATTCACATGTCCCAGAAACAGTACCGGTCCCAATACTGATCCTTCTGGAACTCCACTTTTTACACTTGCCCATTCTGACATTACTTCTCGGACAGTCACTGTCTCCTTCGCATAAGATTTTTTTGATCCACTGTAGATCACGCCTTGTTATTCCTAAATGCTCATGTTTTTGTCTCAGTCTCTTGTGAAGTTATGCTATAAAATACTTTCTTGCAGTCCAAGAATATTCAGTTCACCCATCCCTCGCTCTCTCCTGCCTCACTTCTGTTACCTTGTCATAGAACTCCAACTGGTTTGTGAAGCAAGATTTACCGTCTTTCTGGTGTTCTGGTTAATATTTATGGAACCACTTCTCTGTAAGTTGTCTATCACTCTCCCGATTATCTTCTCTATTACCTTACTGATCTGTAGTTTAACGCTTCCTGTCTCTTTTCTTCCCTTAATATTGGGAAGAATGTAGTCCCAATATTAAGGGAATGTAGTCCCAATATTAAGAGAAATTTTTCCATATCCTCTAACTTGTAGATTCTAGCTGTTAATTTTGACAGTGCTTCTGCTCCTTCTCTCTGAATCTACGTTAAAACTTTGTCAGGTTCTTTGCTTTTGGTGTGTGATCAGCATCTTTGTCATCAGCAGCAGCATCAAGAACCTCGTACAGCAGTGAAGAGGTATCATCATCATCATCATGAGGGGCAGGTGGTGGCCAGGTGCATACATCAGGAGGCTGGCTAGCGCTGGTGCTAGTTAATGATGTTCTTTCAACGAAGAGATTACTCTTGTGCCCTGATGAATGGCCTCAATAATGACGTTTAATTCGCCTCTTGAAAATTACTGGAGTGAAACCACACCAGTTAATGGTCCCAGAGAGAGAGAGAGAGAGAGAGAGAGAGAGAGAGAGAGAGAGAGAGAGAGAGAGAGAGAGAGAGAGAGAGAGAGAGAGAGAGGTTCACAGTGATGGTGGTTCAGACACTAAAAGGTGTGTGATTGGTCAAAATCTACCCATAGCGCGGCATTAACAAGTAGAATAATTGTAGACGTCTCCTGTGGCTGTTGGTGGGGTAACGTAAGTAGTAGTTGTAGATCTGTTACTACTGTAGTAGTTGTAGTAGATTTCTTACTACTGTAGTAGTTGTAGTATATTTGATACTGTAGTAGTTCTAGTAGATCTGTTACTATTGTAGTAGTTGTAGATCTGTTACTATTGTAGTAGTTCTAGTAGATCGGTTACTACTGTAGTAGTTGTAGTAGATCTGTTACTATTGTAGTAGTTGTAGATCTGTTACTATTGTAGTAGTTGTAGTAGATCGGTTACTATTGTAGTTGTAGTAGATCTGTTACTATTGTAGTAGTTGTAGATCTGTTACTATTGTAGTAGTTGTAGATCTGTTACTACTGTAGTAGTTGTAGTAGATCTGTTACTACTGTAGTAGTTGTAGATCTGTTACTACTGTAGTAGTTGTAGATCTGTTACTACTGTAGTAGTTGTAGTAGATCTGTTACTACTGTAGTAGTTGTAGATCTGTTACTGTTGTAGTAGTTGTAGATCTGTTACTGTTGTAGTAGTTGAAGATCTGTTACTGTTGTACTAGTTGTAGATCTGTTACTGTTGTAGTTGTAGATCTGTTACTACTGTAGTTGTAGATCTGTTACTGTTGTAGTAGTTGTAGATCTGTTACTGTTGTAGTAGTTGTAGATCTGTTACTGTTGTAGTAGTTGTAGATCTGTTACTGTTGTAGTAGTTGTAGATCTGTTACTGTTGTATGTAGTTGTAATCTGTTGTTACTGTTGTAGTAGTTGTAGATCTGTTACTACTGTAGTAGTTGTAGATCTGTTACTGTTGTAGTAGTTGTAGATCTGTTACTGTTGTAGTAGTTGTAGATCTGTTACTGTTGTAGTAGTTGTAGATCTGTTACTACTGTAGTAATTGTAGTAGATCTGTTACTGTTGTAGTAGTTGTGTAGATTGTTTACTGTTGTAGTAGTTGTAGATCTGTTACTACTGTAGTAGTTGAAGTAGATCTGTTACTGTTGTAGTAGTTGTAGATCTGTTACTGTTGTAGTAGTTGTAGATCTGTTACTACTGTAGTAGTTGTAGATCTGTTACTACTGTAGTAGTTGTAGATCTGTTACTGTTGTAGTAGTTGTAGATCTGTTACTACTGTAGTAGTTGTAGTAGATCTGTTACTACTGTAGTAGTTGTAGATCTGTTACTACTGTAGTAGTTGTAGATCTGTTACTACTGTAGTAGTTGTAGTAGATATGTTACTACTGTAGTAGTTGTAGTAGATCTGTTACTACTGTAGTAGTTGTAGATCTGTTACTACTGTAGTAGTTGTAGATCTGTTACTGTTGTAGTAGTTGTAGATCTGTTACTGTTGTAGTAGTTGTAGATCTGTTACTACTGTAGTAGTTGTAGATCTGTTACTACTGTAGTAGTTGTAGATCTGTTACTGTTGTAGTAGTTGAAGTAGATCTGTTACTGTTGTAGTAGTTGTAGATCTGTTACTACTGTAGTAGGTGTAGATCTGTTACTGTTGTAGTAGTTGAAGTAGATCTGTTACTATTGTAGTGGTTGTAGTAGATCTGTTACTACTGTAGTAGTTGTAGTAGATCTGTTACTGTTGTAGTAGTTGTAGATCTGTTACTACTGTAGTAGGTGTAGATCTGTTACTGTTGTAGTAGTTGTAGATCTGTTACTGTTGTAGTAGTTGTAGATCTGTTACTACTGTAGTAGGTGTAGATCTGTTACTGTTGTAGTAGTTGAAGTAGATCTGTTACTATTGTAGTGGTTGTAGTAGATCTGTTACTACTGTAGTAGTTGTAGTAGATCTGTTACTGTTGTAGTAGTTGTAGATCTGTTACTGTTGTAGTAGTTGTAGTAGATCTGTTACTACTGTAGTAGTTGTAGATCTGTTACTACTGTAGTAGTTGTAGATCTGTTACTGTTGTAGTTGTAGATCTGTTACTACTTTAGTAGTTGTAGATCTGTTACTACTGTAGTAGTTGTAGATCTGTTACTACTGTAGTAGTTGTAGATCTGTTACTGTTGTAGTTGTAGATCTGTTACTACTTTAGTAGTTGTAGATCTGTTACTACTGTAGTAGTTGTAGATCTGTTACTGTTGTAGTTGTAGATCTGTTACTACTGTAGTAGTTGTAGTAGATCTGTTACTACTGTAGTAATTGTAGTAGATCTGTTACTACTGTAGTAGTTGTAGATCTGTTACTACTGTAGTAGTTGTAGATCTGTTACTACTGTAGTGGAGGTAGATCTGTTACTACTGTAGTAGTTGTAGATCTGTTACTACTGTAGTAGTTGTAGATCTGTTACTACTGTAGTAGTTGTAGATCTGTTACTACTGTAGTGGAGGTAGATCTGTTACTACTGTAGTGGAGGTAGATCTGTTACTACTGTAGTAGTTGTAGATCTGTTACTACTGTAGTAGTTGTAGATCTGTTACTACTGTAGTGGAGGTAGATCTGTTACTACTGTAGTGGAGGTAGATCTGTTACTACTGTAGTAGTTGTAGATCTGTTACTACTGTAGTGGAGGTAGATCTGTTACTACTGTAGTGGAGGTAGATCTGTTACTACTGTAGTGGAGGTAGATCTGTTACTACTGTAGTAGTTGTAGATCTGTTACTACTGTAGTGGAGGTAGATCTGTTACTACTGTAGTGGAGGTAGATCTGTTACTACTGTAGTAGTTGTAGATCTGTTACTACTGTAGTAGTTGTAGATGTAGCTCAAGCTTTACTTTTCGAATGCAGTGTAGTGTTTTAACCCCCTCCCCCCGTTGTTTCATGGTGGGGGGCTGAAGTAATGAAGGAGGGGGGTCATTTTCCCCCAGCTTCTTGTCCTCTCTTACTTGTCTCCCTCAGCCCCCCTCCTCCATCTCTTTTTTTTCCTCTCTGCTTCTCCTTTCTTCTCTTTTGTCTCTGGTTAATTGGCTTCCACCTCCATCCCTATCCCTCTCCCTCCATCATCCCTCTCCCCACTCCCCTCTCCCTCCCTCTCCCCTCTCCCTCCCTCTCCCCTCTCCCTCCTCTCCCTCCCTCCTCTCCCCTCCCTCTCCCCTCTCCCTCCCTCTCCCCTCTCCCTCCCTCTTCCCTCTCCCTCCCTCCCTCCTCTCCTTCCCTCTCCTCTCTCCCTCCTTCAACATTTTTAAGCTTATAACATAGTTTCTCTCCTGTGCGGATAATTAACCAACTTTCTCTCCTCACATTTTTCTCCTTCACATGTTTCTTAATGTTTCTCTTATATAATATTAATTCTTCCTCCTGTGTCTCCTCTTCTTCTTCCTTCTGTTAATGTTTATTCTCCTCTTACTCTATCATTTTTCCTTCTTATTCGTTTCCTCGCCTCTTTGTTTTATTCTGATTGTTTTAATCTTCCTTCTCCTCCTCTTCCTTTTTTCTCCTCTCT